ATTAGTCTTTTTTCCAATTGTTTTTTTGCTCTGTCGTTCAGATTGGATAAATGCTATCGATTCTGGATGCTTTTACTACTTCTCCTTATCACCTGTTAGAAGAAGTTTAATTGTGATTGTCTTGATGTGATTTTCTTCCCGGCTTACTGAGTTTTTTTTTTTTTAATCTATGTGCTTACATATTTTTAATCAACTTTGGAAAAATTTTTAGCCACATTTTAAATTAACATTTTAAATTTTTAAAAAGTAATAATTTTTAATGTACTTTTAAGTCTTTCCTTTAAGATTCCAGTTACATGTATATTAAGCTACTTGAAGTCACATAGCTCACTAATGCCTTCTTTTTTTTCAGTCCTTTTTCAGTCTTTTTTTCCTCTGTGTTTTGTTTTGGGCAATTTCTACTCCTATGCTTTCAGGTTAATTAGTCTTTTATTCTGCAGTGTCTAATCTATTTTTAAACCCATCTGGTGTATTTTTGAAAAATCTCAGCAGTTGTATTTTTCTTCTCTAGAAGTTGGATTGGATTCTTTTTTTATTGTCTGTATCTCTTTTTGATGTGTTCATACTTTCCTCTACCTTATCGAATACATGAAATATAGTTATAATGACTTTTTGCAGGCAAAGTGTAAATCCAGTTTCAGTGGTTGGCAAATTTATTACCCATAGGCCCAAAGTGGCCTGCCATGGTCTAATTTGGCCATACCCTTCATTTACATATAGTCTGTAGCTGTACTACAATGGCAGGGTTGAGTAGTTTTAACAGACTTTATGACCTGAAAAGTGAAAAAAATTTACTATCTGGCATTTACAGAAAAATATTTGCTGAGTCCTGCTTCAGTGACATTTTATTTACATAAAAAATAGAATGTCAGTCCTCGTGTAGCATTTTTTATTATCAGCCTTCAGTGAACACCAACAGCATAATAAGTTCTGTTTTTATAAAGGCAATTCCTGTCTATAAAGACAATGGGGACCGTGGATAAGGTTCATATGGTCCAGGTATGCAGGTGTGCAATGATTTGGTGGAATAACATTTGGAAAATCTTAAGTAGCAAAATAATTAGCACGCCCCCCTCAGTCCAGTGGTTCTTAAACTTTGGCAAGTATTAGATTCACCTGGAAAGCTTGTTAAATCAAGGAACTCTGTACCCAGAGTTTCTTGATTTAGTAAGTTGAGGTGAGACCTGAGAATATGCATTTTTAACAAGTTCCCAGATTATCCTGATTATCCTGTACCACTGGTTGGGACTACACTTTGAAAATCAGTGCTTTAGCCTAATCCTCTGAAATATCAGTCTTCTCTGATAAACTTTTAGCAGAAACTGTATGGTAGTCAGTCACAATTGAGGTTCCCTGAAGAGCAGATGGCCTGGTCTTTTGTGTTTTAAAGCTTTTTTGAGGTATAATTTACATAAAATTAACTCTCTTTAAGTGTATAGTTTGATTAATTTCAGTAAATTTGTATAGTTGTACACTAGTGCCACAATTCAGTTTTTAAATTCCATCACAATAAAAGTTCCCCCATGATCATTTGCAGCCAATTTCAGCACTCAGTTTCAGTGTGAGGTAACCGGTGACCTGCTTTCTGTCTGTATGTTTTTGCATTTCCTAGAAATTTCATGTAAATGGGATCATATGATATGTAGTCAATGTGTCTGGCTTCTTTCAATTAATATAATATTTTTGAGATTAATCTATGTTGTTAATCTATGTTAATCTATGTGAGATTAATCTATGTTGCTTATATTTGTACTTCACTCCTTTTTGTGAGGTAGTGTTCTATAGCATGGACATACTTCATTTGGTTTATCCATTTGGAAGTTGATGGATATTTGGATTTTTTGGTTTTGGTTTTGGCTGTTATGAAAAATGCTATTTTGAACATTCACGTACAAGAGATGGCCCATGATTTTGATAAAAAGAAGTTATAATATCTAGATGATATTCATGTATCATCCCAGGCTTATATTTGATAAAAAACAACTTTAGGGACTTCCCTGGTAGTGCAGCGGTTAAGACTTTGTGCTCCCAATGCAAGGAGCACAGTCTCCATCCCTGATCTGGTAAGTCACTTTTAATCTATAATCATTCCTCTTCTCTTGTTTTTCCATGCCAATGATTTGTTGAAGAAGGTGATTACTTTGTCATGCAATTTCTTATGATCTAGATTTATCTGATTGTATCTTCATATCATATGTCCCTTTATCTCCTCTATTTCCTGTGAACTGGTATTTAGATATAGAATAGTTAGTATATTCAGGATTTTTATATTTCTGATAGCAAGACTATTTCTTAGGAGAAGTTGTTTACTTCCCGTTGCATCATATGATGTCTTTCAGGCTCACTTTTAGTGATGTTATGACTGGTCATTGGGTTTAGATGCTATCAGTCTGATCCATTCATCATAAAGTTTCCCTTTACCTTTTTTTTTTTAAAGGCTTTTTTTCTAGAGCAGTTTTAGGCTCATAGCAAAATTAAGAGGAAGGTACAGAGATTTCCCATTTACTCCCTGATCCCAATTTGCATAGCTATCACCCATCTGGTGAAAGATGTTGCCTCTTTATAGCAACATCCCACATCAGAGTGGTACATTTGTTACAATTGATGAGCCTACACTGACACATTGTAGTCACCAAAAGTCCATAGTTCCATTAGCGTTTACTCCTGGCACACATTCTACAGGTTTGGATAAATGTATAATGAGATGTAGCCATCATTATAGTATCAAACATCGTATTTTCACAGCCCTAAAAATCCTCTGTGTTCCACCTGTTCATCTCTCCCTCCCCTCAACCCCTAGAAACAACTGGTCTTTTTATCATCTCCATAGTTTTCCTTTTCCAGATCATTGAATAGTTGGAATCACCCAGTGTGTAGCCTTTTCAGATTGGATCCCTTCACTTAGTAATAGGCTTTTAAGGTTCCTTCATGTCTTTTCATGGTTTGATAGCTCGTTTCTTTTTACCACTGAATAATGTTCCATCATCTGGGTATGTGACAGTTTATTTATCCATTCACCTACTGAAGGATATCCCGGTAGCTTCCAAGTTTTGGCAATTATGAATAAAGCTGCTTTAAACATCCATGAGCAGGTTTTTGTGTGGACATAAGTTTTCAGCTCCTTTGGGTAAGTATTAAGGAGGGCAACTGCTAGATTGTATGGTAAGAGTATGTTTAGTTTTATAAGAAACTTCCAAACTCTTCCAAGGTGGCTGTACCATTTTGCATTCCTACCACCAATGAATGAGAGTTCTTGTTACTCCACATTCTCATCAGCATGTATTAGTGTTGTCAGTGTTCTGGATTTTGGCCAGTCTGATAGGTGTGTAGTAGAATCTCATTGTTGTCTTACTTTGCAATTCCCTGATGATATCTAATGTGGAGTATCTTCATGTGTTATTTGCCATTTGTATTTCTTCTTTGGTGAAGTGTCTGTTAGGTCTTTGGCCCATTTTCTAATCAGGTTTTGTTTTGTTTTGTTTTTTTAATTGATGAGTTTTAAAAGTTCTTTGTATATCTTGGATAATAGTCCTTTATCAGATGTGTCTTTTGCAAATACTTTCTGCCATTCTGTGGCTTGTCTTTTCGTTCTCTTGACAGTGTTGTTCACAAAGCATAAGGTTTTCATTTTAATTAAGTCAGTATATCAGTTATTTCTTTCATGGCTCGTGAAATCTCTCCTCAACGTTTTACCAAATGCTTTTAGCAGCTACTGATGAATATTCCCCTGGTCCTCTATTTCATTAGAGTTGCAAAATATTCACCTTCCAATTCTATTATTTCTTCTGTATTTCTTTTTTCTTTTTTTTTTTTTTTTAATATAGGTTGGATTATCTGGGCCAGCGCTTATTATTTTAAGTGTTCTGCCTTGTTCTCATGCATGCACTCTCGTTTTGTGGGGTTTTGTTGTTATTGTTTTGGGGAATTTTTTTCTTTGGTACGCGGGCCTCTCACTGTTGTGGCCTCTCCCGTTGCGGAGCACAGGCTCCGGACGCGCAGGCTCAGCGGCCATGGCTCACGGGCCCAGCCGCTCCGCGGCATGTGGGATCCTCCCAGACCGGGGCACGAACCCATGCTCCCTGCATCGGCAGGCGGACTCTCAACCACTGCGCCACCAGGGAAGCCCTCTTCTGTATTTCTTAACCTAGAATTCTATCAGGAAGAATTTTGTTTTTATCAACTCTTTGTTTACTCTGGAATTCAATTTTTACAAGAAAGGAAGGATAAATTCTTGTTTATTTCTTTGTATTCAATTTATCATTTTCAGAATAATGAGTTGGTGCCCTAGCAACCCAGAGATATGATTAAGTTTTAAAGTATCATTATGAACTCTCACGGGGTTTATTTATTTGATGTGCTTAATCCAGTTCAGTCATTTTCAGTCACCAGTTTTCACTGGTGATGTCCCCTAAAGTTTGCTGCTCTGTTTTCATGAGCTATGCTTATATTTTCATTTTTCACTTCATTGCTTTCTGGCTCAAAATTTCCTAGGCTTGTATAATACTTTGTGCTTCAGACTGGTTTTTTGTTTGTTTGTTTGTTTGTTTTTGTTTTTTTTAAGGAGACTGGATCAGTGGGAAATGGAATTTAGAGACCATAATCTAGATGCTAGGAAGCTTACTTACTGGGTTGTTACTGCTCCTAGATCTTTGAATATTTCTTTTACAAGGGCACTGGATTTACCATAATTTTCATTGTATGCTCCTACTTTTAACTCCTGAGATTGTATATCTTTTTGCTATACAGAAAAACAGCATTAACACAATTCAGTTAAGTTTATCAGTCATTGGGTGGGGATATACTTTTTTCTAGTCACAGTTGTACAGCCTGGTACACATATGTTAGATTTTGGCCCTTGCTTTCAGGAAAGCACTGAGACTTACTGTTAGCATTTAATGGAATGATATGTAAGAAAATAAATTTAAATTTAATAAATCTAAAAATAAATGGATAAAATGCAGAGGTGGTACAAAAGAAGAATTGATTAATTCTGTTGGCAGAAGATGTTTAAGGAATGCTATGCATTCCCAGGGAAAGTAACATGCTGGGTATTAAAGGAAGGGTATGAGTCTAACTGGGTGTAAAAAGATGAAGGAAAGGGACTTTTAGATAGAGGAAAAAGCATATGAAAAGATATGAAGCCAGAAAACAGGAACAACAAGTAGGTTGCTATTTGGGGCACCAAGATTGATGTGGAGAATGACAATAGATGAGGCAAAATCAGGAAAGTATTATATGCCATGATAAAGAGCCTATACTTCTCCTATAGGCAACAGGGAAATGCTGAAAATTTTTAAGTAGAAATGTGAAATGACCTAATTTGCTCCTCAGAATAATCATTCTGGCAACAGTAAAGAAAATGGATTAGGAGGGAAAATGTCAAGACAGAGAGAGTAGGTCTTAGAGTGGTAAGTTCACTTTTTGAGTTTACAAACTTGCCTCTAGAATAGCACTTGGCATATAGTAGTAGGTACTCAATAATATCTGTCAAGTGAACAAAAGGTTATTGTATGAATCAAAAGAAGTTGATAAGTCTGAAGAAAAACCACATAGAAATAGAGCCTGCATTTTTGACAATACTACTTGATTCATCTGCTTGCTTACTTAGTATTTTATCTTAAGATTTTCACAAACTAAGTAAAACAACCCAATAGAAAAATAGTCAAAAGGATATAAATGGCAGGCTCATAAAAGGGAAAACTGCGTGATGACTATATGAAAATATGCTCAACTTCTTTAATAAACAAAGAAATGCAAATACCTTTTAAATCCCATGAGGTGGAAAAATATTTAAAAGTTTACACAAAACCCAGCCTTGAGCAGGATGTTAAAGTGTTGGGACATTTACATGCTGCTGCTGGAAGTATAAATTGGTGAAACCACTGTAGAAAGCAGGTTGACAATCAGTATTTAGTAAGTCAGAAGATACACATGCCATTTGACTCAGCATTTCCATTTCAGTTATAAACCCTAGAGAAATGCTCACACCTGTATAAAGATACTTGTTCAACAATGTTCATTGCAGCATTATTGATTATACCAAAAATTTGAAAGTAACACAGATGTCTTCAGGAGAATGAATAAATTTTGATATGTGTATAACAGTATGATATTCTGCAGTGAAAATGAATAAGCCAAAGCCATATGAATAGACCTGAATAATTGTCACAAACAAAATACTGACTGAGAAAGCCTTCAAAATAATAATATAGTGGGATGCCACTTATATAAAGTTAATTATGCAAAATAATATTATTATATATATTCAATAATAGATAAAAATACCAAATTTAAGAGCCTGGTTATCTCTGAGGAGGAAAAGCAAAATGGGATTAGGAAAGGTTACACAGTGGTCTTTAGCGTATTTTTCTTTAAAAAAAAGTCAGAAATAAAGCAAAATTAAAATTTAATAGGGTAGGTGATGTGTAGACCTATTTTAAAAGTGGTTTTAAAAAATTCTTTCTTATATATTTGAAATATTTCTGATGAAAAAAACCTCTGAGAATAGAGAATTTCAGAATTATCCTTGTTCCCAAAGTAAAATATTTTTCTAGCACCTAAATCCTTTTAACAGCTTTTTATTTTGCAGATTTGACTGATGAATTAGCTCAGAAGTTGTTTGATGTTTCAGAAATGTCTTCAGCAACAATGGCCCATTCATTACCCACAGTAGTTCCAGAATCTCCTAGAATTTATCCTGCAAGGACACCCAAAACACCTCGAGCACCTAGATTACAAGATCCAAACAAAACACCAAGATTTTATCCTGTTGTTAAAGAACCTAAAGCCATTGATGTAAAGGTACACAAAACACCAGGAATATAAAGCCTGCCGTTTGTATACTTCAACATTACAAAATGATACTTTTTTAGTTTCTATCACAATAAAAATAATGTATATTTTAGACTGCAAGAATTCATTAAAGAATGGTATTTTACCATAGTGATGTCTTCTCAGGTTAAGGAATAACTTCTTTACAATGGGTAGTGTTAATTAAAGACAATCAGAAGGTGTAATGAGGAATCATTCTAAGTTGTATTTTTTTTAATCCTTGTGTTGAAACCTAGCAAAGGGTCTTGTGAAGTTTTGTAACTTGTATGTGACATATTTGACTTTTGTGACTTCATATGATTTCATAATGTGTCACCCACCATATGAAAATGTTTGAGTTGGTTTACAGTCAGAGGGTTTTTTTAATTTACTTGTGAGGTTCACACTACTGAAGGTAATTGGGACGTTTGACTTCTTTTTCCTTAGAGTCCAAGAAAGAGAAAAACAAGACATAGTACAAATCCCCCTCTAGAGTGTCATATTGGTTGGGTAATGGATTCCAGAGATCATGGGCCAAGAACATCATCTGTCAGGTACCGTATTTGTCAAATATTGCTTTGTTCTTGATTTTAAATTTGTTGAAAACAGTTACTAATTAGATATTTGGGAACATTTAAGAATTGATACGTTAGCAAATTAATAGAACAACAAAATAGTAAAAAGAAGCCAAAGAAGGGGAAATAAATGGGACAGTTTTACAATAAGTATATTAAGGAATAATTCAGTAGGACAGGTGTTTTTTTTTTTCCTTTTAAAGTAATTTTCACAAATGTGTACTCTTCGATTAAAAATATTTAGGTTGGGCTTCCCTGGTGGCACAGTGGTTGGGAGTCCGCCTGCCGATGCAGGGGACACGGGTTCGTGCCCCGGTCCGGGAAGATCCCACATGCCGCGGAGCGGCTGGGCCCGTGAGCCATGGCCGCTGAGCCTGCGCGTCTGGAGCCTGTGCTCCGCAATGGGAGAGGCGACAACAGTAACAGGCCCGCGTACCGCAAAAAAAAAAAAAAAAAATTTAGATCTATTAAAGTTATTATCTTTGGAAAGATTCCAGGTTTTTCATAGCATAGTAGGTTCTTAGTGAGTTAATGTGCTAAACAGTCTACTCAAAACTACGTAAAGGATATGGAAATAAAACACATTAATATTTTGGAATTTTTCCTTTGGGGGAAATAATTTAGATTAGCTAGTTATTAGCAGTAAGTGGTTTGTCTTTTAGTTTTTAATTTAAAAAAGAAAGACTATTATTTACCTCAATGAAAACCTAACCTATCTTGTGTTTGTATAGATATTTTCAGAATAATTATCTGATCAGCTTTCTAATTGGAAAATGAACTTTAGGAAAAAGTGTTTTTTTACTGGTTAAGGGAAGGATGTTAGTTTCATTCAAAGAAAAGCTAGAGAGTGTATCATGATCTGAAAATCTCCAAGTATGTCTTTGCAGGGATGTTAATTTGTTTCTTTTACATTTTGTTCTTGTTAGATATATTTTCCTTAAAAGATAAACTGTGTATATGTTCTTCTTGCACACCTATTGTATATGAATAGTTATTTTGTATTCTAAGTCATTTTGAGAGTTCTTTCTTTTATTTATTTTTATCAGAGCAGTATATTTAGAGATCAGTAGATAATGGTGAAAAATGTTGCACTGATATGTAGCAGGGAACAAGGCAGGTACAGTCCCTGCCTTTCTTGAGCTTAATTCAGAGATGACAGGCAAGTATGTAGTTACAATAATGAGGGGTGGATTTTGTTCGCCAGCTTGTCTTTTAGAGGAGTTGTAGCTACACAGCAGACTTGAGTGGGAGGTACACAGAGCTCCCCATACCCTCTGCATACCCTGCCTCCCCCACTGTAAGCAGTCATATCTTTGACCATCTACATTATTGTCAGTGCTGGTAGTGTCTTATAGTCTGTTTGTCTCATCTGTTCTTTGTTCTTTTCTCCTACTTTCTTTTAGATCAGCTTAGTTTTTGTAATGATTCTGTTTTATCTCTACTGTTGTCTTGTTGTATCTCTTGTTTTTTACTGGTCTTCTAGGGTTTATAATATATGTTTTAAAATATAATCTATTTTCAAGTAATATATCATTACACGTATAGGATAAGAACCATACTGCAGTAAAGTTCCTTTTCCTACTGTCCTTTCTGCTATATTTTGTTATTATTTTTCTTTAGACAATTATCTTTTAAAACAATTTACATAAAAAAAGGAATTTTAAATGTATTCTCATTTTTACCATTTACAATGCTCTTCATTTCTTGTGCAGGTCTGTTGGCAATGAATTCTGTTAGCTTTTGTTTATCAGGAAAAGTTTTCTTTTTTTTCATTTTGAAAGATATTTTCAATGAGCATAGAATTCTATGATGGATCTAGGTATGAATTCAGATTCACGGCTCATTCTGTTTGTAATGAATTTTAAGCATCAAAAGTGATATGGTTTAGTGAAATAATTTTCAAACTTTTTTGTCTAAGGACCTCTTTATCCTTTTAGTTATTGAGGACCTCAAAGAGCTTTTGTTTATGGGAGTTATATAATTTAAAAATAAAAAATTAAACTGAATTGAGTTTAAAAGTAAAACTGAAAACAATTAAATATTTATTCATTTAAAATAATAATAAACATATTAACATAAATGACATATCTTTATGAAATATAATTACATTTCTCAAAACAAAAAAATTCCTGAATAGAGTGGCATTGTTTTAAAGTTCTGCATATTTGTTTAATGTTTTTGCTTTATATGAGATAACTGGATTCTCATATATTTCTATGTTCAATCTTATAATTTGTTTTTTATTGTTGATGTAGAGGAATAAAATCCAAGAAAGGGAGGAGTATTTTAATAGCCTTTTCAGATAATTGTAGGTATTCTTCTTTGGTATTATACCGAAGCTGAACAAGTGGTAATTTTTTAAAAGTTAGTTGCAGTGTAGAATTTAAACCATATATAAGTGACCTTCTTCTACTCAGTGAATTTTCCATACTCTGTTACATTAAAAGCCATTGGACTTCTTCCACTTTGGATGGCTCTTTTTGTCTATGAATGCATTTGTAACATCATGAATTGATCATTTGGAAAAACTGATTAACTGAGTTATGTGGACTTTTAAATGATGACACATGTCAGAATACAATAAAAAAAATTACATTAAAAAAATAACCACTAAGGAGAATAATGTCAGGAAGATGGCAGAATGGGAAGGAACAGGAATCTGTCTCACCACGTGGACAACAACTGTATCAGCAGAAACTGTCTGCATTGACTATTTTGGAACTCTACAGTCTATCTGAACACTTAAAGCTTCCAGGGGAAAGCGTGTCTGGTAAATTGTTAATATTCGTTGATGTTGGCCTTTGGTGTAGTAGTGGCCATCTCCCACTGCCCCAGCCCTGTGACAGGCATTTGGGAAGATGGCAACCCACACCTCTTGTGTGGCTTGCTGGATCCAAAGTAGGCAATAAGCACCTTGTCCTCCAAATATTGGAGTTCTGTGTTGACTGCTCACTGCCTCTGGTCAACAAGGTACAGACACAGAATCCGGTAGCCTTTGTTTCATCCCCACTGTCTGAATGTCTTTTTTTTTTTTTCTCCCCAAAACAACCACTAATAGAGGTAAATTTAGAAAATTACCACCCATGCCCAAGGAAAGATGTGGAAAAAAACCTAAGGGGACTTAAGCTTTTACCTCAGGCTTATCCCAGCACAGAAGCAGCCTACAATAGCTGAAAAAAAAACAGCAAACCCTGGGGAAGAGGGAGAATTTGATTTCCAGAGTTACCACTTTATAAGATTCAAATCTTCATTGTTCAACCAAAAAATCACAAGGCTTACAAAGAAATAAGAAAGTATGGGCCATTTGGAGGAACAAAATTAATTGACAGAAAATGTACCTGATGAAGCCTGGGTTCCATTCTTTCAAAATGAAGTCTTTAAAACAGCTGTTTTAAGGATACTCAAAGAGCTAAATAAAGGAAGATATAGACAAAGATAGCAAAACAATGTATGAAGAAAACAAGATTATCAATAGAGATAGAAATTATACAAAGGAACCAGAAAGGAATTCTGGAGCTGAAAATACAATAACTAAAATGAAAAATACACCAGAAGGTTCAAAAGCAGATTTCATCAAACAGAAGAAAGAGGAAAGAATCAGTAGACTTAAAGATGGAACAATTTGAATTGTCAAGTCTGAGGAACAGAAAGAAAGAAGAAAAAACTAGTAGTGTCTAAGGGATCTGTAGGACACATGGACTAGCCCAATACACACATTGTGGGAATCTCAGAAGGAAAAGAGGAAAAAGGGGGCAAGAAGAATATTTGAAAGAATAGTGGCTCCCAATTTGATGAAATACAAGAATCTACAAATCTAATAAGCTTAATGAACTTGAAGTAGGATAAACCCAAAGAGACTCACATTAAGACACTAATTAAACTGTTGAAAACCAAAGACAATGAGAGAATCCTGAAAGCAGCAGGAGAGAAGAGACTCATCACATACAAGAGGTCCTTAGTAAATGTATCAGGCAGTTTCTCAGAGGCCAGAAATCAGTAGACTGATATATTCAAAGTGCTGGGGGGAAAAATCCCCATCCACTGAGAATTCCTTATCTGACAAAACTGCCCTTCAAAATTGAGGGAGACATTCAGAGATAAACAAAGCCTGAGGGAAAAGAAAAGGAAACAAAAGACATATTGAATTAGAAAGAAGAAATAAAACTGTCTTTGTTCACAGATGACAAGATTGTATATGTAAAAAGTCATAAATAATTAACAGAAACTCCTGGAACTAATAAGCAATTACATCAAGGTTTCAGGATATATGGTTAATATACAAAAGTCAGTCACTTCCCTATATAGCAACAATGAACTAGTAGAATTTGAAATTAATTAATCAAACTACTGTTGGACTTCCCTGGTGGCACAGTGGTTAAGAATCTGCCTGCCATTGCAGGGGACACAGGTTCAAGCCCTGGTCCGGGAAGATCCCACATGCCATGGAGCTACTAAGCCTGTGTGACATAACTACTGAGCCTGTGCTCTAGAGCCCATGAGCCATAACTACTGAGCCTGCATGCCACAACTACTGAGCCCATGTGCCACAATTACTGAAGCCTGCGCCCCTAGAACCCACGCTCTGCAACAAAGAGAAGCCACTGCAATAAGAAGCCCATGCACCGCAACAGAGTAGCACCTGTTCGCCGCAACTAGAGAAAGCCCATGCGCAGCAATGAAGACCCAATGCAGCCAAAAATAAGTAAATAAGTAAATAAATACTATTTACATTATCACCCCCCAAAAGAAATAGGTATAAATCTAACAAAATATGTACAAGATCTTTATTAGGAAAACTGCAAAACTCTGATGAAAGGAATAAAAAAACTAAATAAATGGAGATAAACTCCATGTTCATGGGTAGAAGACTCAATACTGTCAAGATCAGGCGCGAGCTGCAGCTAACAGTGCGGACCCCAGAGATGGACATGAGATGCTAAGGCTGCTGCTGCCGCCACCAAAAAGCCTGTGTGTGAGCA